GTGCCTTTCTCTGGAAAAGCTCCAGCCACTCTTTTTACATGAGCTGTGGTAAACAGCGCAATGTCTGGATGGCCAGAAGACACTCCTCCCGCCACTGCCTCTTCCAAGAAAGCTGCCAGAGGCAGAGGAGGAATGGGATCAGAAACTGTTTGGAGCCTGGCTATCCTGGGAGCAGCAGTTCCCTGAGCAAATGGTTTTCTTGACCAAATGCACAAAACAGGCAAGTGCTGCCTTTTCACCCGAGCTTGCTTGCTCACATTTTTACCCCCTTGTTTTTAAGCATAGCCCTCCAATTTATCTCATAGTCACAGTAAAAAGTCCCAGCAAACCAACCTGAGCTCAATCAAATTCATGTCATCTTACATCAGTGGCTCTCAATTAAAGAAACTGAAGACAGATCAGAAATGAAGATAGAGACATCCCAAAGAAGATATATGGGTGAGTCATGGAGCCAACAGGAGCACTCATCCAGCAAACCATGGGTGTGTGCAGTGCTAATCACTGTTAAGTCCTAGGGAGTCTGAGAGTTCTGTCCTTAGAACGAATGCCCTGTCCTTAAATCCTCTGAGTCCAAAGAGAAGATAAAGGAAAAACAGATAATGGCAGGTAAGTGCAGTCAGAGAAATGCATTGAGCCTCAAAATGCTAAATCTAAATTCAGTCTAGAGCAGAGAATTCATCTTGGAGGATATGGTTGACCTGAGACAAGGAAAAGCAGGTTATTAGAAAGGGAAGCTGTCCCAGAAGATGACATTTCAAGAACACCATAAGCAGATAAATGACATGGAGGCGCATTAATGGAATGCGGCACACCTAAAGTCCATAAGAACAACACTGAAGACGTGGTAAGGCCGGATCTAGAAGCACTTTCTCTGAGCTTTAAGCGGAGCCATCTGAAGCAAGTGTCAGGTCTGTTCCTGAGAACCACTTCACTGCAGTGTGGCCTCACCGGAGAAACAAACTGTTAGTGTGAGGAGGAGAGTTCTCATTCCTAAGTTCTCTCCATGCTTCTCGGGGTTTCCCATGCTAGCTGGTGTCCAGACTCACTCACAGCTTTGGTAGGATGCATATAAACACGATGAGTGCCACGTTGCTTCCACACCTAAGCAATAGAAACTGGGTTCCCCAGGATGCTTCTCCTTCTGCAACAACATTGTTAAAGATGCTTTTGTTAAAGATGGGGAAATAACAGAATGGACAGAGTTGCATCTCTAGAACACCACATTATGCCATTCTCCAAATGAGAATATATTTATTTTGGGTCACCCTACAGAAGCTCTGTCCACAAGATCCCTCTAACATAAGAGTAAGGCAGCCCAGCCATCCATGTGATCAATAAGGCAGAGGTGGTTTCTATTTTTCTTTGCACAACAAAAAATGGAATCAAATGGAACATGTTGATCGGCTGAACCAATCATTGAATTGATGATATTAAGAGTGTAAACTACTAGAGTCTTATAGGAGTAAAGAAATGAATCAAATTCAAAATATATTTAAAATGAAAAATGACCAAGATTTGGTAACTTAGTTGTGGAGGGGGAGGAGAGAGAGAGAGAGAGAGAGAGAGAGAGAGAGAGAGAGAGAGAGAGAGAGAGAGAGAGAGAGAGAGAGAATAGTAGAAGTGTTTGATAAGTCATAGTAGCACCACCCAAGACAGCATGCTAAAATGCCACCTTGAGGAGAAGGGATGTTCCCTTTACGTATACTGACATTAATGTGGTATGCTTTAAGTGGGGATATATGCCAACCATTTACCTGCATGAGAAAGCCTGAGAAAAATTTGGGTAAGAAACACATTTGTGTTAGCTGTTTGGAAATGATGAATAAATTAGGAGGTTGGCTGAGTTGGACAAAAAGAGTAAAGAACAGAGTCAAAGGATGAATCATAAGATAGAAAGAATTCCCAAGGAAGACCTACGAGTAGTGATGTGAAGGCATTCAGAGCAGACCAAGCGGCCACCAGCTCTCCGAAAGACAGAGGTCAATGAGTCTACAGAAAGCATTGAACGGCTGAAAACCACTGAAGCAGTTCCATTGGATGAGGACCACAAACCAATTCATACTCTTTGGCAGCTGAAATCAATGGGCGATGACAGTGAAAAACATTCCCACAGAGTCACTGGTGTCTTGAAGAGTCAACGGGAGCTGCCACAGTGGGGACGCTGGGCACCTGCTGTTCTTTCTGACACTTTGTATGTGAGCAGAAGAAGGAAACCTCAGGCTGTCTGGAGTCAATTCAAACTCCAGAGGGGAGCTTTCTGCGTGTGTTTCCAACATTAGATAGTGCAGCCTGGTACAGCAGCCACTCATCTCCTCATGTGGTGATCAAACACTGGAAACGTACTGGTTCACACTGAGATGTGCTGGGAATTAAAACTCACACTAAAGTGTGAAGACAAGGAACTAAGATGTGACTATAATAGATCTCAATGATTATTTTATATGAAACACATAAAATTGACAATCTATACATTAGCGTAACTATTTCACTAAATTTAATTTCATGCAATTGTTTTAATATTCTTTAATGTACCCAACTGAAAATAGAAACTCACATGTGTGACTTACATTACATTTCTATTGTGCTGTACATATCTGAGGATGTTGTAGGCTGGTAAGTATCTGTGATAGGCAGAATTCTAAAATAGTTCCCAAGACCCACACCTATACAGTCCTTCTCCCCTGACTCCAAGTAGGATGACTGAGTGTGAAGAGATATTTGCCTCTTGGCCAGAGCACTATTGCACAGATTTTAAGCAAATAAGATGAGAGATTCACCTGTGTAAACCTGACGTTCCCAGGCACACCCGTTGGAAGAAGGTGAAGTTTCGGAGAGATGCTCCACCATGTTTTGTAAGAAGTAACAAACTGCCAAAGAAATGTCTCCCCTCTACTCTCCTGCTGATAACCCTAGTGGTTACTGCTTTTCCAGATCATCCTGAGTCGTTAAAGAAGCCCACCATTGGCTTCAGACAATACAGTTCAGTCCTGTGGTTCTACCTGTGTGCGAGTGTAAATGTCTGTGCCCTTCTCAAACTCATGTTAAAGTCTGAACTCCACTGTTACAATGGTAAGAGGTGAGGTCTGGGAAATAATTATGGAACAAAGTCTCCTCTAGTATTAGTGCCAACATAAAAGAGTCCCACAAAGCTGTTTGGCTCTTTCCCCACCCAAGGATGTGGAAAGAAGGCACTATCTATAAACAAAGAATCAAGCAAGCAAACAACAATAAAAGGATGTCACTCAACAAGGATCAACGAAGTCCTTCATCTTGGACTTCCCAACATTCATAACTGGAGAAGTATGGTCTATGAATATAGAATCCACCAGTCTGAGGTATTCAGTTATAGAAACCTGAATGGACTAACATGGTAGGAAGTCTGGGAAGGAGCAGAGCCTAAACTGACACTTCTGCAAACTTGGTATGTACATCATTAAATATGGGCATAGTCCCTTAGCAAACAGTTTGGGGACACACCAGGTACTATCTTAGGATGAACAACAAGGCAAGTATTTGCTAAGCCACTGCAATGTTTTAAAGGTCACAGTTTGATGGATATGTATAAGGATCAGGCATGTTCTTCAATCATCTTTTTAGCTCATGTTTGTAAATAACCAAGAAGCTGTTGTAGTTCCAATCACTTCCCCAAGTAATCAGACTTAGAAATATTAGCATGTGCCTTTTACCATATTAATGGGATCAGGTTCCTTTCAAGAACATAATTTGATAATAAGCTGAAAATCTACTTTATTGCTTTTTGCTTCAAAAGTAAATCTAACCCAAAGCAGGGCTTTCCTAAATCCTTTCTAGGGGCCTTAAGATCTTATTGCAAGGCATCTTAGTTTCTCAAATCTCTTCATTATATAAGAGTCTTAAAAGGCTCTAGTTTTAAATGAAAATGATATTTTTATATATATATCAGCTTTTCAGTCAGAATCCCTGCTATGGGAATATATAAATGTATATATCAATGAACTGCCTATCTATGCAAGATATATAGGTATGGATATTTTGAAACTTTGCCAAAATTATACCAAGGGACAATGACAAACTTTGATACATGAAATTAGTAAAACTGTACTATTGGGAAAAAAGATAGAGCTATTTTCAGAATTATTATTCTTAGATTGCATCAAAAGAAAATTTTGATGAATCCATGATTTTAGCTTGCTTATGAAGATATCTGAATTTTTGAAATAGATAAATACCTATATAGATGAAGATAGGAATATCATGAACTTGCTTCTAAAATCATAATGTATACCTGTGCATCTACAAATTCAGTACATATTCACTAAATTGTATCATCAAGATGCTTATTGAATTACCTGATCCCATAGCAGGGATTCTGACTGAAAAGCTGCCTGAAGAATCTCTTATCTTACAACTTCACCCTTTCCCAGGGAGTCATGGTCACATCTTGGTGCTTGGGAGATGAGAGAAACATCTCACGGAATTTGTGACTTATCTGTGGTGTTCACCTTGTAGATGACACAGTGAAATCTCTGGGTCATGCCCTCAGAGTAGAGATGTTACTTTGTGGGAAAAAAGAAAATTACATGGCACCATGCTAGGCTCTGAAAGGACTCAAAGAAGAATTCGACCCAGTTACTGACCTGCAAGCAGTTTATAGACATCCAAAACCCACAGAGGAAAAAGGAATGCTTATTAGTGAGAATGACACAAAACAGCACTTTTTGAAATAGAAGAATGAAGAAGATACCACTAAACGTGCATTTGAACTATGTGACAGAAACCATGCAGGGGGATCAGAGTCCAGCTGCTCCAAGAGGCCCTACAGCTCCTGCCCACTTGCAGCCTGTGGACAGATCTGAGCCATGGACACAGTCAAACCTCCTTTCAACTTTCACTCCCTTGGCATTCCTCAGCCTTACAAAATGATAATGAGGATGTCAGAAAAGGATTATTGCCAATAGTGATGGTGTCACTACTTTAACATGGGCTCTGAATTTCAATTATTGTCAAGAAAATGAACTTACTTCGAGAGAGATTCTCAAGGGCTTTCCCCAGCTTCTTGCTCTCTTGAAGGATGTGGTTCAATTCATCAAAATCACGGCTTTGTGGTTTAGTCCGCCAGTCCCACTTAGGATGTTCTACTGACCTTGGCACTATGTTTAAAAGAAACGGTTATTTCATGAGCATGTTGTACAGCGATACAAACTCACCATTTATCGTTTGTGAAAGACTGCGTCAAGATCAGTGTGCAGAATAAAAATGATTAAGCTGGAGATGGTTCTTGTGAGGAAACAGCAAGGAGATTTAAAATTGGACTTGAAGAAAATGTTTTAACTCAATAAATAGAAGAAAATATGGCAGTGATTATGGAAAATGGGAAATTGCAATACTGATTTAAATCTAATTACTTCTATAACTTAAGGGGAAACACAAGGGAAAAGTTTATCTCATATAATGCTAAAATAAATTTCTAAAAATCAGTCTAAAATAATAATTACTAACCCCATCATCAGTAACTAGCAAATATTTTTATGATGCCATTTGTCATATATTCTAAAAAACACAAGACTGTGTGTGTGTATATATATATATGTGTGTGTGTATATGTATATACATATATATATTATACATACATTATATATTTATGTATAAAATTTCTCCCAAGTTCCTATTAAAATTATGTAACAGTTAAGGAATATTTTTCCTTTCAAAAAATAAATTGAACATGGGGAAGTGATTGAGTAAGGCTTTTCTCTGGAAGACATAAAATAGGGTAATTATCAGTGGTGAGATTTAGCAATGAAGAGAAAAAAGAAGCTTATAGCCTGAAGAGTGGGATGCAAAGAGAGTCAGCACTTCATTTAAATGTGAATTCACCAACTCAGGAGCACAAGGTCAAAGCAATGAAGACATAAGAATTTAATGGTTTCCCAGATTTAAAGAGTCCAATTATAGGGACCAGCAAAATTCAACTTTTGTTATTTCAAGTTTTTAAACAACATCAGTAAAGACATGATTACAAAAGCTGTTGGGGACAAAAATAAGACACTGGATTAACAACAGACTTAGTAATATGTCTGTTCTAGAAGATAGGAGAACAATCCTTAAAAATTCCAACAGAAAGTTACTTCTAACCCAAAATTTTATACCAATTATAGGTGCAGCTGAGATACTTAAAGCTCTTGAGAGTTTCTTTCATAAACATTCTTTCTAAGAAAGTTGCAAACGGGCGTGCTCCGGTTCAATGAATAAATAAACAAAAATCTTAAACTACTTGGAAGCAGGAATGGGTGAACTCTAAAAGAAAGAGAAAAGGGGCATTCTCTTGATGACAGTGGAGGATGGTATTAACACACAGTTGGAAACTGTCTACAGGTGACAAGAATGGAGGAAGGCAGCAAAGGGCTGCAGGAGAGAGGTCTCCAAGATGCCTTCAATGACATACAAGGAGAAAAAAATACAAAATAAAGTAGCATAAAAGAGAAGATGAGTTAGATCACATTAAGGAACTCTTTGGGCAGGGCTTGGGGAAGCATTCATAATGAATATACAGAAAACAAGGTGAACAGTGAAGAGCACACTATTAATTCTAGAAAATATAAGTAACATTTCAGTTTGTCTTGCTGAAAAATATCAATTAATATAGTTGAAGTGATATTGAAGCAGAGTATGTCTTAACACAAATTTGAAGTAATCACAATTGCTCTGCTGTCAGGATGAGATGAGTGCACAGCAAAGTGTGAAGGTGATTCATAAATGACACATCACATTTAAAAGGCTAAGAGCAGTTTAGAACCTTATATGTTCAGATATGCAGACTCGGAAACTAAAATAAACATTCAAGGTGTCAAAATTGATCCCATTTACAGTTGGGAAGGAAGAATAGTTACTTTGAGGAATAAGAGTAGCTAAAACAATATTTGTATCATAGTCTTCAAAATCGTGGTGGCCACACTTGTTAACCTGCTTTGAATAATTTCTTTATTCTGCAGTTTGTACCATTGCATCATGTAATTTCCTGTAAAACCATGTTCAACAAGGTCTTTCCTTACCTTTCAATTTATAGAATAGTAGAATAAAACCACAAATACTCCAAGTCCATATCCAGGCAGCCACGAGATCTGTCCCTGAATGTTCTAGGTTGACAAGCCCAGGTAAGACCAGCAGATGACCTGACCTATCAACGCCAAATCCTGAGAAACTATACACTTTAAGGCAACGAGTTTGAGCCTCACATGACACCAGAAGTTTCCTTGGCAACTTTACAGAGAAACTGAGACCATTTTTTTTATCTGTAGCCTGTGATGACTCCTGTATGTAAATGACAGCATGGGAACCCAATTCAAAATGACCGTGTTCATCTTATGATCATGGACAGATTAGCTATGCTTCCAGTTTCAACAGCCATCCTGATAAGTAACAGACAGAGGCCTGTGAAGTCATCCGTCCAACATGCAGCCTTGGATGAGAACATCTTCGTAGTTTTCTGCCAGACAGAAACCTTACTGATGTCTTTAATTTTAGAACGCAGTGCTGCAGTTACATTACATCTTAGAAAATTTCCTCAGGAGAAATGGAAAACAGCAGGAGAGTGGCCCAACATAATATGAGCCAGAGGAAACAGTGACAGAATTTGAGGACACTAAAAGCAAGCCCACCCCAGTACAACAGGGTGACCACAGTACTGCACAGGTGGACTCTCTTATTTCCCCATAACAAGGACAGTAGGCTACTTAAAAACCACACTGCATGCTGAGCAGGGGTGATTTTTTTTCAAGACAGGGTTTCTCCGTGTTGCTTTGTGCCTTTCCCTAAACTCACTCTATAGCCCAGGCTGTCCTGGAACTCACAGAGATCCACCTGCCTCTGCCTCCCGAGTGCTGGGATTAAAGGCATGTGCCACCACCACCCAACTAGGGGTGATTTTTTTTTAACATTTCCATATATTAATCAAATTCTAATTCACCTTCCATTAGTTGTTTCTGTCCATGAGTTTAAAACTTATTTATTGTTTCCTCCTCATAAATTTATTTTTAATAATATTTTATTTTTTGAAATTATACTATAATTACATCATTTCACTTTCACTTTTCTCCCTCCATCCCCTATGAACCCCTTACAAAGTTATAGCCTTTTTCCTTTAACATATAGTTTATATATAAATTTAATATATTTTTTCTTTAATATATAAATATAAGCTGTCCAGTCCATATAATGTTACTTGTATGTATATAATGTACCAACAGCTGAGAATTTGGTATTAGATAAATTAGGGGGCTCCTCTCTAAGAAAGACTATTTCTCTCACTTTCAACATTTCTTGTCAGTAGCCAATAATTCTCTAATTGGATTTAAGACCTGCAGCAGCCCCCTGGCCCCCGGCAGCCTATAGCCGCAGAGACCTCAGCACCTATCAACAGTGGGGACCCCCCCACCACCATACTGGAGTGATTCCAACTCAGAGGACACCCAGAGCTACCATCTGGTATCTGCCAGTTTCCAACTGACTACCCAGCATCCCCCTCCCCCCTTTCCCATAATTCATGACATCAAAACATCGGCTTTTCCCTTGAGACTCAGGAGGGCCAAAGCAACAGCCTTTGGCTTTTTCTCTTTTTTCCCTCTCCCTCCCAAGGGTTGAAGGAAGGGATCCGTCCTCACTGTTCAGAGGCATCCGCTCCCTCCCCTAAGTCAGGCTGAGAAGGAACCAGCCCGCTCTTCACCCCCTCCTGATTGGTTTTCCCCGCCCATTTATTTTTTGTTTCCCTGCTACCTCCTCCCAACACCTGAAGCCATTTTATGAACTGTCATGTGCCACCTGAGCCTCCAGTAAAAACAAAAGCAGGCTTTCTTGTTAAAAAAAAAAAAAAAAAAAAAAAAAAAAAAAAAAAAAAAAAAAAAAAAAAAAAAAAAAAAAAAAAAAAAAGACCTGCTCAATAAGAGGGAAATCATGCCTGGTACTGGAAACCCAGCAATCCATCTGGGCTAGTGGTGAGACCATGGATGTCAGAGGAGGACCTACAACCACCCTTTACTAAATCAGCATAACCCTAATGAATTTCTAAGACCCAGTTGGCCAAATTCTTTAAAGTAGAAATGAGAACTCTGTCACTGATGAATGTGTAAAACGTATACAATTTCTGCAGAGGAGGGCCCAGTATTGTCTGCCAGAAGTACTACTGTCATCCCCACCCACTCTGCTTTTTGCCTCTTTTTCAATGATTTAGAAAAACACAAAATTATACATATAATTTAGGGAGTACCATATGCATATTTAAAAGAGGGTGAATAAGTCTGTGCCCTACATTTACTATTTCTTGATGGCGAGAACACTCAGAATGCCTTCAGTCTTTCTGGAATGCACACTGCACTGTCACTGGTGGTCATTGTACAATGCAGTGGCACAGCATAGCTTCTTGGTCCTCACTAGAACTTAATCATCACCGACAGAACTGACCTTTGAGATTATTTATACCTTTCGATCCTGATTGCTAAAACAACAGCTGAACCACGCTTTCCTTTTCAGTATGCCAGGAAGTGTCCTCAGTACTGAAGTGATAATTTACTGCGAGCTGATTGAGGCGAGGTGCCTCTGTTTTCTGTCCTATCTTCTAAATGTTTGGACACTGTTTTGATGTCCTCATTCTCTTGTATTTATGTAATCTGTAATTACATCCTTATGCCTCATCCTTTCCTTCTTATCCTAAAGTTTTCCTGATGGTCTCTACATATCTAGGTACTTTGGTTTGTGCATTTTGTAATAAAACATTATAAACAAGAAGAGCATTAGAGAGAGGGCTTAGCAGCTAAGAGCACTGGTTGTTCTTCCAGAGGGTCCATATTTGATTATCAACTTGTACATGGTAATCCACAATCATTTGTAAGTCCATTTCCAAGGGATCTGATTCTCTCTTTTGGCCTCTATAGGCACCAAGCAAGTGTGTTTCATATGAACATATATGCAGGCAAGACATAATACACATAAAATAAAATAATAATAAAAATTAATAAATAGAAAGAAACGGAGGAATATTCCCCCAAATGCAAAGAAAAGCACTAATAGGATTACTGAGAGATGATTTCAGTTTTTTATTTTAACCTAAACCAACATATTTATCTCAGTTTTCTTGATTATGAATATGAAATGGGCAAAA